CCACTGAAAACTCTACATCCAGATGAACAGAATCAACATTTTGGGATTTCCTTACCTGGATGATTGAGCCTGCATGAAATATTTTATAGTATTTTGAGGTTTTCTTCCAGTTTATTAAAAAAAAAGTACACGTAACACAAGGTTTTACAGTATTGCTGCCCCACAGATTGAACTTAGACAGAAAGGTACAACATGCAGTCTAAAGTTGCATAAGCTGACATTCGTAAGGAAAGCTTTAGCAACTAAAGACTTGGATTATTATAGTAAAGCGAGGAAATTAGATCTTTTTTATTTCTTAGTTAAAACATGTTGTGTGGATTTCTGATAAAAATAAAAGTGCAAAATGATTTTGCACAGACCTTAAAGATACAGTACACAGTGTTTACTTCATGACTTATTATATCTTGCTCTTTCTCCCACTCCCTTAACCTCAGGTACTTCATACCCTGTTTTCACTAGCACACCATCTCTTCCACCAGAATTCGCACTTCCCTTTCCAAATGTCAGCCTTGTCGCTTCTCCCATCACACTGGAGAATCAACACAAAGTGTCCTCTGCCCTCTAAAGATATCACCCTCCACTGTGGTGGTCAGGTATGGCAAAAAAGAGTGAGTGATTATTTCAGGCTGACGTAGGTGGTCAGTGATAAGAGTCTGTGTGCACTAACTTGCTGTTCACTCATCTGTGCAGTTTAAAGCCTTTTTGGACAGTAAAATGATAGCTTGGTGTCACTCAGACATGGTGACCTTGTGGTATTTCATTGTTCAGAAAGGTTCACGAGGTTTTGACCTTGTGTTGAGCTTCTGAAATCTATGGTGCAAAGATCAGCACTCTGATTTTTATCTTGGATCAATTTCCAACTATTAAATATTTCAGTTGCTGTCATGACTTGTATTGAAATGTAAGAGGCAACGTCAAGAAAATGTCACCAAATTAACAGAATCATCTGCGTGTCTGAGGGAATTAATTGTGTATCTCCTTTAACAGGTTTGGAGATCCAGTCAAAGCTAACTGCTCCATACAAAGAATGGGGTATTTTGGCATTGGTTGGGAAGTCCCACTGGTAGGTTAATCAGTGTTTGATTATACACAGTGTTTTATATGTTGAGAACCAAACAACACCCACTAACTAAACTAAATATAAGGCTTATATCCTCACTTTGTAGTTTTATATAAGAGAGCTGTATATTTTCATCACACAGTCTTCACAACTTCATATCCAATGCAAAGAGAGTTATGATAAGTGTGAAGTGTATTGGGAAATAAAGAAAGAGCACTGCAGATGCAGTATTTGCTTTGAGGGCGTTGACTGAGAAGTATTGAGAGTTGCACTGTGTTTGTGGATCTAAAGGACATGATAGGGTGCCAAGATAGGAACTGGGGTACTGCCTGAAGAAGTCAGGAATGGCAGAAGATGCAAGGATGGTGCCAGAAATGTCTGAGGACAGCGAGACATTGGTGAGGTGTGAGTACATCAGGGATCGGCTGTGAGCCACTTCTTGTTGACAGTAGTGATTGATAGTCTGACAGATGAGGCGAGGCTGGAGTCTGCATGGACTATGATGCTCACTAATGAAATTGTGATCAGTAGTGAGAGTATGGAGTAGGTGGAAAAGAACCTGGAGACGTGGAGGTATGCTCAGAGGAGAAGAGGAATGAAAGTACAACCAAAACAGGATAGATGTGTAAATCAGAGGAAGACAGATGAAAAGGTTACCATGGAAGCAGCAGAAGTGGTGAAGGTAAATTCAATTCAATATTATTTATATAGGAAAAACTTTTTAACGAGAAGAAACCCATGGAAGAACCATGCCCAGGGAGGGCAGGCAATTGTTGAGATTGGTTGGGGGTGAAGAGAAGGACACAGGAAAAAAAAGACACTGTGGAAGAGAGCATAATTTCAGCATAATTGTCAATAAGGAAAGTCTTAAGAGTAAACTTAAAAGTAAAGAAGGAATCTGTCTCCTAAATTCAAACTAGGAACTGGTTCCACCAAAGAGGAGCCCGAAAGCTGGAGACTGTCTCCCATTCTACTTTTTAATACTCTAGGAACCACATGTGAACTCAGTCTGACTGTGAAGTGATCTGATGGGGTGATACAGTACTAAAAATTCTTAAAGACGTATTTTGGAATGATGATTTTGAATCTGATTCTGGATTTAACAGGGAGCCAATGAAGAGAAGACAATATAGAAGAAATATGTACTCTCTTACTAGTCTATGTCAGTATTCTTGCTGCAGCATTTCACCTCAAGTAAAGGCATTTCAGGGAGTTTTTAAGGCATCCTTATAATAATGAATTACCGTCATCGAGCCTAGATGTAATAAATGCATGAACTAGTTTTGGAGGTCCACCTACATTGTTCTTTGTAAAAAAGTGATTGCCCCCTAAACCTAATAACTGGTTGGGCAACCCTAAGCAGCAACAACTGCAATCAAACATTTGTGATCACTGGCAATGAGTCTTTTACAGCACTTTGGAGGAATTTTGGACCACTTGTCTTTGCAGAATTGTTGTAATTCAGCCAAAATCAAGGGTTTTCAAGCATGAATTACCTTTTTAAGGTCATGCCACAGCATCTTAATCTGATTCAGGTCAGGACTCCAAAGCAGTCCTGCTCTTTTTCTTAAGTTAGAGGTGGACTTGCTGGAGTGTTTTGGATCACTGTCTTTCTGCAAAAACCAAGTGCTCTTCAGCTTGAGGACACAAACAGATGGCTGGATATTCTCCTTCAAGATGTTTTGGTAGATCCATGGTTCCATTTACCAGATCAAGTCTCCCAGATCCCTAGGCAACAAAGCAGCACTGAACCATCACATTACTGCCACAACGTTTTACTGTTGGTATGTCGTTCCTTTTCTGAAATGCTGAGTTACTTTTATGCCACAAGTAATGGGACACACCCAGTCTGACCATTTTTCAAGGCTTGGAGATCATCACGATGTTTTCTGGAAAACTGAACTACGCCTTTATGTTCCTTTTGCTCAGCAGTGGTTTTCATCTTGGAACCATTTGGGGACATTTTTGCCCAGTCTCTACCTTATGGTGATGTCATGAACACTGAACTGAAGCAAGAGAGGCCTACCGTTCTGGGGTAACTTTGTTCAGCCAGTGAAAGTTCACCACTGTTCCATGTTTTCGCCATTTGTGGATAATGTCTTTCACTGTGGCTCGCTGGAGTCCCATAGCTTTAGAAATGGCTTTATAACCTTATCCAGACTGAGATCTGAGTTACATCGTTTCTCACTTGTACCCGAATTTCCTTCGATCGCAGCATGATTTCTAGTTTTGGAGGACTTTTTGGTCTACTCTACTTTGTCAGGCAGGTCCTATTTAAGAGATTTGATCGAGCACAGGTGTGGCAGTAATCAGACCTGTGTATGGCTACAGACGTTGAACTCCGCTTTTCAAAGACGTGATACACCACAGTTAATTTCCCCTTAATAATAAACACCATTTAGAAACAGCATTTTGTTTACTTGTTAATATTAAAATTAGTTTAATGGGCTGACACTTGAGTGTGATGAACACACACACACACACACACACCACACACACACACACACACACACACACACACACACAAAAAAAATTGTGTTTATTGTTCATTGCCTTCACTTGAGGAAAAAAGAAAAAAATCTGAATAGCTTTGCGATTTGTTACCCTTTGCCACTCCAGAACCGTCCTAACTTTACATCACAAGGTTTTCTGATCTGGAGTGTTGAGAAGATGACTGACTGGACCATCAAGCCTGTGTGTTTTGCCCTATCTGAACAGGGAGGACAGTGTTACAGTAAACTCACCCTAATAGTCTACAGTAAGTCAACAGCATTATCCTTCTGACATGCATGAAGCACTTTACATGGCTGATATGCCAACCTCTCTCCACAGAGCCTCCAGACAGAGTATCCATCACATTTCTAAATCACAGTGAGTCACCGTTTGAGGGTGATCGGTATACTCTACAGTGCCACGTTACAGAGGTTGCGCCTGCTGAAAATGTCCTCGTGACCTTCTACAGAGGGGAGAAAATGCTGGCTCAGATGCACTCGAATACATCCAGTGAGAAGAAACCAGTGACTCAGAGCTTCACTCTGAACATCGTATCCAGTAAAGAAGACACTGAAGCTCAGTACTGGTGTGAAGCCAAACTTGAGCTGGGACCTGAAGGACCACAGCACCTTCCAGTGATGGCGTCACAAAGACTCTGTAAGTGAAACCAGTGATCTGCGCTACAAATTTTTGGAATTTATGTGGATTCTGTTTTTTAATTTCCCCTTTAGTTCTTTTTCCCCTCTCCACATCTTTAGGATCCCTCTTTGCTTTTTCTGTAAGGCCAAAAGGGTAGATGCAAGCTATTTGCTTCAAACACTGCAGCATCCATTTAAAACACGTACATTTTGAGCTCCAGTTCTGCCACCTGGAGCTTTCCCAGCATCACTGAACAACTACTTACCCAGGCTACATTTAATGTGCATATGGTTATCAAAGCTTAAAACAGCATAACAGCTCTGTAAGTATAACCTGATCTGCTCAGTGCGCAGGATGCAATATTATGGTAAAGCCACAACAGCATTTCCAAAATTGCTTTTTTCATGGGAGTGACAACCGTGCAGAAAACACAGCAAAGAACATATCAACACAGTTCAGGTGATGGATAATCCTAATATTTATTTACTTATTGACTGTGGAAAATGACCACCAGAGCTTCTGCCATAGTCACAATATATGCACTGTTAATAACATGACTGAAGACTTTCTGCTCTACAAACCAGTTTATCACTCAAGAAGCATTTTAATGAGGCAATATAAAGCTGTTGTGTAATGTTTCCTCCTGCAATTTCAAGAATCACATATATAAACTACTTCAAATGAAACTGCACTCTTTGTTCTCCAGTCATATACCGTCAGCTGTAAAGTGTTACATAGAACTGCTTAAACCATATTTTCTTCTTACTAGAAAAGTGAACAAACAGAGCTTCTTTCGTTAGATAAAATGTATTAGGTGTCTTTTCTTCCACTGATTGTTTTTCCTTGTTTCAGTTGCACCACAGCTTAGCTGTCCTGTAAAACTTAAGGTGACAGAGGGCGAGAGATTCCCATGTGAGGTGACAGGAAACCCTCAGCCATCAGTGACCTGGTTCAGAAATGGGCAGATAGTTGCCCCACCCTCTCATTTAAATAAAAAGGATGCTGGAAATTACACAATCCAAGCTAAAGGATTATTTTCAAAAAACTTCACAGTGGAAGTGAAAATCCTTCCTGCCAGAGGTAGGGTTGTCTGCATTACTACTGAACACAATTAATGCTCCCTGTTAACATTTCTACTTTCATTGTTCCAAATCATCCTTCCTGGAGTTTGAGAAAGCTTTTGTTCTGATATATGATCATGTAAATGAGAAGAATCCTAAACTGAAGGTTTGGAGTAATCTTGTGCTGAAAACTGTTTCTTCTGCTTTCCAGGAACTGCAAACAGCTGTTGTGGACATTTCTTGCTGCTTGTTCTTCTTACCCAGATGATAACTCACGTGTAAAACCTTAAAAGTTCCTCTTTCCACGTTACTTGGATAAAAGTGCTCCTGCTGTAGAAAATGCAGAGAAATGTTCATTGCTGTGTCATTCCTTGTGTCCTTAAGGCTCAGCTTTGAATTTGAATGTCTTTATGTGCATTTCAAAGACAGTGGAGTCTCACTAAAAGCAGATTATGCTCTCTAGTTGTTCTTTTTAATCGTTTTGTTGCTGAACTTCTGTCCAGGTACATATTCTTATGTAACTACCGTAAGCTGCCTTTGTTATCTGCCCAAAAGGCAAAGTTCACATCTTCCAGACTGAAAGCTTCTCTAGAAAGAAATTCACATTTTAGTCCTTAATCACTCAGTGTTCATGGGTATGTGAAAGCAGTATGATTTAGTTAAAAACAATTTACTTTTAAAGAGCTGAAACTGGAAATAAGGCGAGACAGTCCAGCAAAGGCATCCAGAAAGATATCTGGTTGTCTTAATTTTCTTTTGAACATCACAATGGTGTTTCATTACTATTTGATATCTGAAGAAATGCTGAGTTACGCCCCCATCCTGCCATGTAAAGAATCCAAGAGTTTTTGGAAGGATTTTCTTTGGATTTGGAAAACTGGATCAATGTGTTGATGTGGGTGAGGGTAAAAAATTTAAATAAATCATTGGGCATAATGTATGTGTCAACCCACTGTCCAAGTGTCCTGCTCCACCCCCTTTTGGAAACTGTCTGGGTTAGCTGTCAAAGCAAAAGCTGCACCCAAATGGTACAAGAGGCTAACAGCCTGCTCTTTAGTTGGGTAACTTTAGACTTCCTCATCGTCCTTTAGGCTCGTTGAGACATTTTATTTTTACATCCTTATTCATAGCTCCTGCATTACTCCTTGCAATACTTTCATTGCACAATAAATTTCAGCTTAAATAAGCTGACTAGGCAGTTGAACTTTGTTGTTTTGAGTCATTTGTTACTAGCCTCAGTCAAGTTGGTAACATGAATCATTACTAAAACCTTCAGTTGCTGTACAAAATGTTAAGAAAATAAAGCACCAAATAAACAGCTATGACATGCTCTCTTTATTATGTATTAAGTGAAAGTGTGTAGTTTAAGACATTAACTTTGTTGATTTTAGTATAAGAACTACTCCATTAGAACCTCATGTGCCCAGTTCATCTTCAACGATTCTGCTCCATCTAAAAAGAAAAACATTTTATCTACTTGACAAAATGTTGATTATAAAGCTTTTATTTTGACATTGAAACTTATTGGAATACATAAAGCATCTTGTAGCAATTGATGTGTTGCGTTTGATAAAAACGTAAACTACTAAACCATGATGTCACACACTGGTTTGGTCCCACAATGAAGTTTTTGCTGCCATTGTCGTTTAGAAACCATTAGCTAACACACATCCTGGATAATCCTCTCACTCTTAGAAGACAGAATGCAGGTTTCAGGATTTTGGAGCCAATTTTGAACCTTGGAGCTACAGCCATCTTTTATTTTGTCTAAATATGAGATTTGAATTTGAAATTAATTTTGTTTCAAGTACAAACATGTCCCTTCGGTTGTTGATTTTTGTCATTTTGAGCATTTCTGATCATTTTAGTTCAGTTCTATAAAACTGCTATCCAATTAATTCCCTAAATCATTGGAGTGTCCCCTTTTCATCCCCTTTTATTAAGACAGAAAGAAAACTGAACATGAGGAGCACTACTCTAAATTCAGAGTTGTTGTAATGTTAGAGTAAAAAGAAAATATACAACTTACTGCATGTCTTTGTTGAAGGTTGTCATTTTGTAGCACCATCACCTTCAGAGACTCTGTGCACCTGAACAGCATCTGCATGTTTGGTGCCTCCAACCTGAAGCATCTGAGGCAAAATGTCACCACATATACTCTGTGCTGGGAAACCAACTGGGCTGGACTGAGGAGGAGGAGGAGGGAGTAGGGGAGAACTCTGTGTCTCCGAGAAGCTCCAGTGATGAACAAAACACTTGGTTTTTGCAACTTCTGCTAGGAGCTCCTGGAGCCCTGGGAGGTGTTGCTCCTGAGCCAGGGCTTGTTCAGCAAGGAGATCCAGGAGGGAATGAGTGGGAGTCTCATCAACTTGAGATTTCTCCGACTCTGCATTTGAGGTGGCTCTGACATTCATTTCCACTTTTTTGACCTCGCCCTTCTTCGTGGCAGCACCCTCGTGAACAACAGAACTGAGTCTATCGGAGCCTTCGGTGAAGGCAGAAGCTGCTCCTCTGGACATTTCTGTCAGTGGTGAATTTCCCCAATCGTCATTACAGTCATCTGAGAATGAACATGACTGCTTCTTCTCACACTTGGCCTTCTTCGTTCTAAACATGTGAAACAATGCTTGCATTTTTGGTAAATAACTTTAAACATTTTATGTAGAAATTCATACAAGTAACAGCATTTAATTCCGCCCATCGCTGCACTCACAGTAATGACGAGAGATGTAACAATTTCCTGCTCTCCTTCATCAGAACCCTGAGAGAGAAAAAAGACATTTAAGTCGTAACATGTGTATAGTTAAAAGTATGAAAATAAAGTTTCAGGACTGAAACTGCACCATTATAGTTTACCTTGATTGCATCCACCCTTTTGGCCAAAGCGGTTTGACCTCATTGTCAAGAAAGATCTTGAGATGCTCTTCAACCTCCTGTTCCCCCTTCCTTTCCTTTTTATAATTGTCTGCTTTTGCTTTCAGCACTTGGCCCAAACACTCTCTAAATGACAGAACAGGTCAAAGTGTCCGTTTTCATGGACTAAAGCACAGTTTTAAAAGATCTTACTGAAATAAAACATGTTAACACGTGATTGATCTTTACAGCTTACCTGATCTCCTCATTCCACTTGAACACTTTCTTAGGACCTGCTTTTCTCCCAGTTTTCTCCTCATCATTGTCCTCTGTTGCTCTTTAGATAAACAGAAAATGCCATTATCACAGAGGGCTAGGGATGGTTTCCAGTAGTCCAATTCTCTTTGCAAGCACCTGCACAGCCAACATGCTAATGCTAAGCTAGCCTAGAAGCCAGAGTGCTGTTCAAGCTGAGTAAATGCTGATCCCAGCCTAGCAGTTGCATGTACATGCTGTAGAGTAATGCTCATGTCGCATCTGCCTTTTTGAAATTGTACAATTTGGTTGTGTCAGCCATAAGAAAAGATTGTAATATTTAAATACAGCCACAACTGTGGCTAAGAATGGGAGATGAGACAACGTGGTAAGTAGGAAAGGAGATTTTATTTTGTTAAATAAAATTATAGACACTAGTAGCTGATAGTCTCACCTCCATTTTCCAAGAATAAATGAACTTACTTTGAAGTCTTGACTTGTTCATACGCCTGACATTCTTCATTGAAACATGAAATCTGCTCAGGCATAGATCTTCCAATGGCATCTTTAAGTTTCTGCATGGGATTTTCCACCCCAGGGGGCTCCCCCTTATCAAGAGGGCATAAAAAGCAGGTCACACAAGTATAAATAATTTACAACTCTGTAATAGAAATGCAGCTGAACACATGAGCACACTCACCACTTGTGCGATTAGCAGTTTCTTTACACGTTTGAGAAGCGTATCTCTGCTACAGGGCAGGAAAGACGACAGGTGTGTGTACACCTTGGAGCGCAGTGACCCACTCTGCTCCCGACACTGTAACTCAATGCTGTGCCGAAACACCAAGAGCAGAAACATGCATTTAAACACCACACTCAATATCTCAGGTGGAACAGGTACACATTTAGTTAAAGGGTTAGTGAGTTATATACTGCTTTGTATACCTTTGAGCATGCAGCCATAAAAGCGGCTTTGTGACGCTGCACCTACATAGCTACTATCTTTGTATGCCATGCTAATCTGTGTGTAAACCGGTTAAAATTTGCGAAGGAGATTATTTGAAATCTTAGGCATGAGTATAGGTATAACAAGATTTTTGATCAGATAATCACGTGTGTAGCAAATTTAAGGTCAAGATCAAGGTTTGCAGGTCAATACCTGAACTTGAAGCAGGCACTGTCCAACTTTTTCTTACACGAGCATTCAAGTTCCACAAAACGTGATCACCTAATATAAATAAATACCACTTCCTAGTAGTTTCTGAAAGAATGAGTCATTGAGGTATATCTATCACTATATCTACATACATACACACACTCAGCCTGGCCTTATATAGACGCACCATCTCCATGACAAGATTATTATTCCTCATTTCTTTTTGTTTTTAATTCTTTGCCCTTAAATTCAGCATCATTCTTTAAAATAATAATAATAATAATAATAATAATAATAATAGCAGCAGTTTGTATGCTGTGCATGTCTGTGCTGAAGGACTTTCGCTTAAACTTGCAAAGAGAAATATGTTCTGTTCACTGTTAATGGTTTTACATTTGAATATGTTCACTTGGGAGAACTCACTCTAGCAGGATTGAGTTGATATCTGGACTGAAGAACTTGAGTTTTGACTCTCCCTCTGATATCTTGGCCGCCTAAAAATCAGTGTAAACATTGCTCATTAAACTGCAATCAGTTTGTCAACCTATACAGTGTGCACAGGCATTTCCTTTCAGCAGAAATACATAACATCTCACCACTGTGAGGTTTCTAATGCTGTCTTTCAGTGCTGGAGGAAGTCCCTCTGGCAGCGGGGCGCTCTGTGATGTAGAACTGGAATCTGACACAAGCTGGGTTTGCTCTGGTTCACATTTCTCCAGAAAATTATTCTTTGAAGTTGAAGTTCGGGTTTTGGGATCAGAAAAGGTGTCGAGCTGCACGGAATCATCCGTTTTGCTTTGGATCAGCTGCATCTCTAATGCTGGTTGAGGAAGTGATTTAGGCGATGAGATCTCTTCACTGACTTCTAACAGAGAGTCCAGATCAATATCAAAATCTACTGTGCTGGCTGCTTGAATCAGAGCTTGGTCATTGGTTGAACCAATTAAACTGAGAAGAGGGTCAGTTAGCCCCATGCCTCCACCCCCACCTGCATCTGCAGGAAACAGAGGGGTTACTGTTGCACCCAGATTTGCAGCTGCCTTGTCCCTCGCTCTCTTCTGTCTCTCTCTCTCCTTTTCTTTTTGAAACTTTTTCAGCATGCTGGTGACGCTCAGAGTCCTAACAGCCTTTTTCTTCTTTTTGATCTCCATCTCATCAGTCTGCCCAATTTCAGACATAGAGCTACAAAACAAGAAAATTACAAGGGAACAATTTAGTGTTGTTAAGTCAGCTTTACAGCATCAGTATCTAACTTTGGTCAGCCTCACCTTAACTTATGATCCATGTTGCTTTTTATCGCTCCATCTGCTCTGCACAGCTTCTTCCCTGGCTTCTCCTGATCATTATTCAGTTTACGTTTCTGGGAAATTGTTCAAAGGCATGTTAAACAACTCAAAAACGTTATAAAGAACCAAAATGTTGGTGCAAAATTTCCTTTTAAATCTATTTAGCAGATTTGCCAAAATATTCAGCGCAGCCAGTCATGTACTCTTACTGCTTACTTTTGTCATCTCAATCGTTTCCTCTTCGGCTGTGAGGTCATCGTCTTCGGTGTCAGAGGCCTGGCGGAACTGCAGCACGCCCGAATTCACATAGAACCCACCAAATTTGGTGGTGATGGAGCATGGCACGAACTCGTCATACTAAAAGCAGTATGTAATACAATTACAGAAACTATTGAGGGACTGTATAACCACAAGCAGTACACATGATGGCTGTTGAGAGCTTTCACGTGCAGCAGCGAGCTAATGCTTAAGCAGAAAGAACATTTACTCAGTGGTGAGTGAGGTCATTGTCATAATCTAGAAATCAAACCGTCTTTTTGTGCAGCACAGCAGGCAAGGACGAGTTTATACCAGCTGTGAGAAATTTCAAAAGGTGTTCTAACACCGACTCACAGCCTCAGAGTTGTCAATGAAAGAATCCTCGTCATCATAACCAAATCCGATGTCGATCAAGTCCTGGATGCGGTCCTTTTTTTTCTTAGGTTTGGCACCCTGTATTGAGAGGAAGCATAACATTACTGCACCATTTACAAATATTTATCATAGTGATTGCCACCTTCTGTTCACACATCAGTTTAATCTTATAGGTTAATAAGGTAATTTGTTTTTTAAATAACAAAGGGAGTAACAGGCTGCTTTCGGAGGCACAACCTGTGTTACCAAAAGTGAACATAATTTATTAAGCCTTAATATATGAACGTTCTCTTTATCACATTGTATTGGATTCTCAGGTTATCGTGTCCAGGCTGACCTCTGGGCCACCCAGCTGTAGACAAGCACCCATCAACCCTCACAAAAAACACCGAAACCCCCCCCAAACAAAATCTGTTTACATGTTTACAAGAGTAAAAGGCTACTCACATATTTTTCTTCCAACTTCCTTGCAATGGCAGCGACTTCATCGTTCTCCCTCTTTTCTTCCTCCTCTAGTCTGCTCAGTGGTCCTTCAATTTTTGACTGACTTATCTGAAACCCATTAAATGCCATGCCAGCCATTGTTTTACAGGAAATTGAACACATGTCTGGCTCCAATGCAACCAGCATGTTTATTAGTTTTTCATGAGATTAACAAATCAAGTCATTCAGAATAGCAATTTACTCCCACTGTGAGTGTTAAAGCAGATCTTTGTCCCACTTTGACTATTATCTAACTTTTAAACCCAGCTCTGGCTTTAAAAAGTTAGTTTTTTAACCCACTTTTGAAACTAAGCAAAGGCTGCTGCTGAATTAGCAATGCAGTTCCAACTGAATTAAAACTGAACTGCTTTTTGTGTGTGTAATACCTTAAATGGTTTACAATTTCATGTGGTTAGCCAAAAGCCTAAAAAATATTTAGCCTACTTAACCCAGACTAACTACAGTCACGGGTCTGTTTGTATCTTAACTGGTTACAGGTTAGGAGGGTGGAGGTCGTGACTTAATCCCACCTTGTCATCAACAAGCTGCCTATAGCTGAACTCCGGGAAGCTCCGCTCGTCGGGCTCAAATAATGTGAGGACGAGCCGGACTGTTTCAGTGTCAGCGGGTCGATCTGAGCGGGATTCTTCCATCTGCGGAACCCCTGACGGACACCTGTGGGTCGAAGGCGAGTTAGAAGAGGGCGCATCACTGCTGAGAGTAAACAGCTGAACTCTCCGGGGTTCAGCCATCCCAGCGACAGCACACCGGAGTCTGGTTTGGTTTGAACTGAGGAGACGGGCAAAGAGAGTTTAATTAAACTCAAACTGCGGCAGGTGTGCGCGCACGTGCCCAACTGTGTTACCTTGGCAAGCAATCCCGTTTGTTTAAAGCGAGGTTTATTTCTTTAAAGATGGTCCGTCTTCTTCGTTTCTCACGCATAAAACTCTCTCAGAACCAGGTGGAAGAAGAACGTGTTGAAAGAGAAACAGGATTCTGGAAAAACGTCTGTAAAGCTTTGGGAGTGCCAAGTACTGGCTCTGTATTATCCTAAGTATCCATCCATTTTCTTCCGCTTATCTATCAGTGGCGCCTCCAGATTTTTTTTCATAGGGGTGGCCAATATAGGCACCACTAAAAATATTGGGGATTGCGCACAAAAAACAGAATTTCCAGTTTTATTATGCTGTTGTCAAATATAGGTTGCTTGAAAAATATTGCAAAAAAGAGAGACGTTGTTATTAAAGTTGATATCACTGACAATAGGTAGGCCTACATATGAAAAGCAAATAAGATTTTGAAATCCATAATAATGTGTTCTAAACAGGAATAAATAATTATAAGTTAATGTTAATGTTCAACTCATTGTAGGCTGTCTTTCTCTCTCTTGTGCTCACGTTTATTCGAATTATTACCAACATAAGACAGTTTTACCAGGATGGGCCATTAGGGAGGGCAGCAAATTTTCTGAGGGGGTGACCATTCTAATAAAAAATGTAGGTAATGTATTCATGCTGTTCCACAAGAGTTTTTAGTTATTTGGTTTGTGCATGGCAACAAGCACATGTCTCAAAGCAGATTTATGTAACAGTTAATATAAATAACGTGAAAAATACTTTTACAAAGAATAAAAAAAAATATTTTTTTCAGTAGTTCTATTTGCAGAAGAGGAAGATTGTCTGAGTATGGCCCCTGCTGCTTCTTATCTGCTTTCTCAACACCTGGAAATCTCTGCCCTTGTGTTTACACTTTACAAAAAGTCCAAAGATTCTTGAACACAGAAGAAATCTTTGACATTATTTTCGGCCCAGGATGGAAGGTTTGGCTTTTGTGATCCACACTCCAGGCAACCAGATGGACTACCCTGGGCCCAGATGGTACTGGTACAGCTGTTGGGTTTCTTTTCACACATTTGGATGATCTTATAACAAAACTTAACAAAATGTTCACTAAAGTTAGGCACCAGTCGAGATGCTCATTTTGAACTGACGCCTGTGCTTTTTCAGCATTTAGATGAGCTTAAGCAAAGCACTCTGCCACATGTAAATTCTCCTGCCTAAGCAGTCAGTGCCCAGGGTTGTATTTCTCCTGTCAAAAGGGACACATCTCAGGTTTAAGTGCAGATAAACTTCAGCATGACAGTCTGCTAGAGGTAGCTTCTCATAACTAAACAACCAAAAAACAGAAACAAAGATTTCTAAGGAAAAACTTAAGAACTTTGACATTGGAAACAAAATTGAGAATTATCATATGCTAAGAAAAAATCACAACAGAGAAAGAGATACGGCAGTGAGATTTGCGAGAGTTTAAAATTCATATCAACAAGCTCATTATCATCAAGACAGAAGTTTCCAACAAAAACAAACGTCATACATCACAAACCGATACCAACAGGACATCGGCTTTAAGCAAAAGCAGAGGTTAGTTTGAAGAGTCTTAAAAGGCTTATATCACCACTCGTTATGCAAGGGATGCAGCATTTACATTTAAACAACGGCTAAGAATAAGACAAACAATGTGTAACAAATGCAAACGACTGAGTAACACCATGCAGACTGCAATAGACATTAGAGGAAGATGCAAAATAGACACCAAAATGACAGTTTCGATCACAAATAAAAAGTGGGCTTACCAGCCCTAACCCTTAGGACAAACTTTTGCCTTATGAGAAAGTTTATTAGTTTGCCATAATGAATGCCACCATTCAGAACAGTGCATGCTTCCAAATAACAGAAAGAGAGGGTGGATCTGTCACACTTGCCAAAGACAGCTTAAAATGGTAATACGTCTCCCCTAGCAATAGCTAATAATTTACAGCTTACAGATATTCCAAATGAACTGTGCGACCTGAACATATTAGAGAGGCATCTCATTGCCAAGTGCATAACATTTGCCAAAGTAATCCCTCTTCCAAAAGGCCAACAAAAGAGCTGTTCATGGCAATGTTGTCTGTGTCGCTGAGGTACAAGAAGTAGTGAAGTTACCAAGACTGTAGCATAATCGCTCATAACTTGAGATCCATTTCTCAAAGGGCATCAGCTGTTTCAGGCTGTGACATAGAATAAGCTCCTCATAAGCTTGTGAGGACTTTGCTTAAACACCATCCAAAGTATGAGGACGTAACAATCAGAGATACACCTGACTTATGCGACCCAACGTTAGACAGTGATGAAGGTTCAGACTCTGATGGCTAGAGATGATTACTTTGAGGAAAATTTAAGGGGAATTGACAGGTTTGAGACTGAGGCACTTTGTGATGCTGAAAGTGATCCTGAAATTGCTGAAAGAGTTAGGAGTAAATCAGGTTATTTACGGGAACCAGAGCCTCAATCAAATAATTGAGGCTCTGCCAACTATAAAAATCTTCCCTTGTGCCCGACTGTTTAACAGGAAACAGAGTCCTTTCTTCAGTTCAGCAACCCTTCATTAGAAGTGGCTGGGTCAATAAAGTAAGAGGCAAAGATGTGAATTACACACATTTGTGGACCCCAAACCTGTTAAAGAACACTGGTTTCCTCCGTCTTCAGTAGTGAAATGCTTGCACTGTACGACCATTACACATTTATTTGATTTACTGCGAACTGCCTTAATTGATCATATGCACGTTTTCTGCATTAGACTTTTTAGACCTCTCTAAAAAAGTTAGACCTCTCCAGCAGCTGAGAATCTGCACCCAGTGACCGAGAGAGGACAGACAGCAGAGACCCTGAGACCAGATGATCCTTTTGAGCTGCACTCCGTCTCCAGGTACCTTAAAAAGAATAAAATGAGCAGTGTGCCACTCTGTGAAACATTTATTATATGCTCAAGTTTTCATATTTCTGTCTTTTAACTCCACTGCCATTACATCACCAAATGAGTATGTTTGATTAAGGTTTGATCAGCATGTTAATGAATGTAACATGACATTTCTCACCATTTGATGTCAAATATATATTTGCATTATCCATGTTTTGCATACCAATTCTCTATCTACTATTGACTTCTGAGAAACACAAATTTCTGATTCCGCTAATCAAAGCTATGCAGAGTCGTGTCGACTGAAGTGGAGCACATAGTGATTCTGCATGGACTTAGCATTAGCCGAGATGAACCTAGGCACTGCGTAAGTGCATAAAAAGCCTTAGCTATGACTATGGCTTATGCACACATTTATCTCACCACTCAGTGACTGTTAAATTCAGTGAAAATGTCATGGTGTTGAATGTTAACTTCCTTTTGTTTTGTGCACTTCTGTTTAACAGGAAGTGAAGCCCTTTCTATAGCTTGCACACACATCATTGCATATTATATATTTCAGATCAATACTCAGTAAGTGCATTTTTTCCCTTACCGTCTTCAAATGTCTCAAATCTTTTATTCCATGTACATTATGTAAATGTATTTACTTTCTTTTGGATTTTTGTGCATCTGTGAATATTGTACTTTTCAGTCTCATTGAGTTAAATCTATGTTCTGGCATATGCAAGTTTTTCATGTAGGCATGTGCTGATGTCATAGTAGAGACTATTCACGGCCACGTTAAGGAGAAGACGACGTTCACATGTGGACGAGGAGGAATAAGCTGAAAGAAATGGAGAGGGCATCCAAGGGACTATTGTGTGATCCATTTGCAGTCATCTGGAGAAAATCTAAAGAAAAAGTTCAAAAAGTCAACTGAAGGTGATCTTTGTTTTTGACTTAAGAAATTAATAATTATGGTAATTCACTTTTCAATAATGACACAATTGATGTAAGACAAAACTTCATCAGAATTGGTAAAAAACAAACAAACAAACAAACAAATAAATAAATTTATAGGTCGATTGTTTTTTTCACATGTATCATTTTTATAGAGCACAAAAGAAATGGTTGGATCTGAAATACCAGCCACCTCCAGCAAAAAATCAAGAAGGAGAAGAAAAAGAGGAACACTGCTGATACATTACAGGTAACATGTTTAATGTAATAAGGGTAATTAGGAAAAGTGGAGACAGCCGTGGAGAACAAGAAGCAGCTCAACTGAATTAGAAAAGAAACAGGAAACAAAACTAAAAGCAAAGCATACGTCAAACTAACTTTCAAAGTTAAATGGAAAATGTTTGAATTAAACAGGAAAACACAAATGAACTAAATAAAGCAGAAATGAAGACTGAGGGAGGAATTAAACGAAAGCAACTCAGAACTAACAAAACTGAACACGCTAAGAACGAACACAGCAGTTAATCATGTTTCTTTATTTGGAAATCCACAGAAATCTATTGTTTCCCCACAGCACTGCAGAAAAAAGAACTTGTTGCTGTGGTTCTGTCTCAGATCAAAGGCAGTAACTTTCTTTTTCAGCACAGTGAGCTGAAATTATTAGAACCTCATCGTTGGTTAACAAAGTAAGTTATGTGTCTAAAACAGAATCCAAATAACTGTAACTTCAATTATTGTGTTAAAATAATCCTTTGAACACACAAATATTATAAGCATGCCTGGCTGCTAACATGTTCTTCTCCCCGAAACCAAAGACTTAACATTAGGAAATGTTAAGCATTACCAACATTAAGCATTAGGGAGTTAAAATCTTACAGGGCATCTGTACATTCAGTGGGGAAAAAACTAAGCTGTAAGATATCACACTGTATTTTAAATTGAACAGGGATTTAATTGTTTTTAAAATGCTAAATAATGACTTGTTTTACATCCTTTGTCTGTCCCTCCTTCTAAAATATGTCTCAACGAAATAGAAAGTGCCCTGTAATACACTGAACCCTAATAAGAGATCCAACAAGTTGGATGTGGGCGTCTGTGAGTACTGTTGTATATACTGAACCACTACATCGCTGCTTCCTGTCTGGGGCAAGAGAGATACTGAGGATTAATATAGAACAGCTGTCCAGGAGCTCTGCGATGTCCTGGTCAGGACTTTAATTTTCTTTTTTAACAGTGTATATTTTGTCAAAGCAATAAAAAGTCTGAGATCAAAGAATCACCAGAGCAGGTAGCTCTATATTTTTGACTTCTTTCACCTAAGCCTACTTGCAAAGGTGAAGCCATTTCTCTGTTTCAGAGACTTTGAAAAAGCAATCAATGCCTTTAATTCATCTCGCCTTGACTTCTGCAACAGCCTCTATGGTGTTACTTCGTCATTAATTGGCCGACTACAGCTGGTTCAAAACCCCGCGGCAAGGTTCCTGACTGGCACACACAAACGAGAGCACATATCCTCTATACTTGCCTCGCTACACTGGCTGCCAGTTAGTTTTCAAATTTATTTTAAGATCTTGACACTTGTTTTTAAAACATTGCATCTGATCTTCTAAATTGGTATACTCCGGTGAGATCTTTGAGGTCTGCAGACCAAATGCTTCTAGTTGTCCCTAGGTCTAGCTTAAAACAGAGATCAGGTTTTTGCTGTGACTGCAAAGGGAATTAGGCTCCCTTTCCCGTCTCCGGCTGTAATCAGCCGAGCAACCTGTTGCTTGGCCCGTAAACGTGTTAACCACGACACTACGGAGCCACAGAACACAACGAGAACGCAATTGTCTTTATTTTCTCAGGAATTTTTCTGCAATTAGGGATGAAACTCTGCAAACTTGTGGAGCAGTTACACACATAGGAGGAATGTGTTTTCTTTATATCAAATATCATGGATGGCTTTTAATTTATTTTTGATATTAAGTCATCACATTCAGTTAATCTTGTTGAATTTAAGCGTAACTGTCTTTTATTTTCTTGGGAATTTTGTAGTAACTTATGATGAAATTGTGCACACGTATAGAGTGAGTGAGCCAAAAGACATCCGCATCTCAACGATCAAGCATGACTTCTTTACATTTTTTTAATAACTGAAAATGGATACAGGAATGCCATGAAGAAATAACAGATGTTACAAACACAAAAGGAAGAATCAAGGATATAACTACACAAAGGCTGATTAGAACAGCCCGAATGAATTAGCACAGTTGTAGACAAACACCACAATGAGCGCGGGGAGGAAGTAAAGCTAAACAAGCAGAGACAAAATTGTATCAAAATAAAACAGCTAGTGTAGCACAGTAACTGACATCAACCTACACATAGGGGAACTGACAAAAAAATAAATACATTTAAGGAGGTCTAATGGCTAATATTCACATTGGCACTTTTTGACCCAATTCCAATTAATGTCTCTGCATTAGAAGGAATCACCAACGTTTCCTCAGTCTTTCAGAAAAGTCCTCCATTACACTCACAGTGGTGTTTTTCACCTATGTTCTTGCTTTTTCTGTGATGAGTTCAAATTCAAAAAAGGTTAAAAAAAAATTAAAAACAAAGTATTAAACCCCTGTTTAAAACCTCATTTAGAAACATTTTCAAACTCAGAATTAAAAAGAAATATTAAAAATCTTTTAAAAATGTAATTTAAAAAGAAAAATTGGAATCCAGGAATTGGATTAAAAAAAATCAGTCTGACTTTTGCTTTCAATTTCTTTGTCCTATTAGCTGTTGGATTAATTGTTGGATTATCTTCTCCATTCAGCATATCCGAGACTCTTTTGGTATTGGAGAAAAAGGAATGCAAATTAGGCTAGTGTCACAGTACGGGGCAGCACTCTGTATGAGTTTGCGAAGAGGACCCAAAATGCAGGCAAAATGGAACGTGGAACAAAACTTGAATTAACAAAAAGGAGCCGTTTAATATGGCTGATGGAGATACATGAAGTAATACATAAGGAAAACAAAGATGAGCATAAACAATAACCTAAACTGGCAAAACTAAAAAATAAACATGGGGAAAAAAACCCTCAACATGAAACTTGGCCTGGATGCAACAAAACATGACAAGAACAACAGACAACCTGACAAAGACTGAATGAGAAAACACACACTAAATACACACAGAAGGCTAATGAGGGGAGTGGGAACACATGGGGAAACACCTGACACTAATCTGACATAACCAAACAAAGGAAGCAAAGCCGACTACACTGACATAGGACACAGACCTTCAAAATAAAACAGGAAACATGAGACACAGACATGACAGTACAAACTTGATAACATAAGACAGCATGACACATAAAGAGTGAGGAAAACTTAAATACTGGGGAAGAGAACACAAGGGGAATCTAATAAACAAATAAACTTCGCGAACCAACATCAAAATAAACTAAATGTAACTTTAACATGAAGACATGTTGGCTATGTAAAAAAAAGCTAAAGGGCTAAAGACACACACCTTTGATGCTGCGAGGCAAAATATCAATTTTTCACACATAGAAATGCAGAAACTAAGAAAAAACAAAAGTTTTCCTGGCAGGAGTTCTTTCACAAGCTCTACTTCTAGTGATTCAACTTAACAAGTTGAAAAAACAGTGTGATGACAGAGCAGCTCAAAGAAAAAGCGACATTTACTAAAATATCAGGATATTATCAGCCTTGCTGTACCCTTTATTAGTTCAGTCTAATGTGTATTATGAGGATTCATGTGACCCAGTGCAGGAAGAAAGCGAACGTGAAGAAAAGAGAGCTCAGCTTTTACATGTTGTTTTACGGGATGTTTCTAACTGTAACTGATGAAAGAACTAACAAAAAACAAACTACCAGGAAATTCAGAATCTCCAGGAAACTGTGCGTAACAGCACAGATTTAGCAGACACAACGGACACAACTTAGCAAAAAAGCCAATGGAGTCATTTTGTCCTCTTGGCTTTTTAAAAATCATGTAATTCTGGTCAAATCTATTATATATTATATATTTATGACTTTATATTTCATGACTTTTCCTAAAATTGGCTTATTTATCAAAAAGTGAATTTTGGGTTATGTAGGACTTAAAAAAAAAGCAAAGATATTATGATCACTTCAGGCAGATGTGGCAGATGTGTATGAGATGATAAGTTCAGTGTTAAAATGAGTAGTCATCTATTGTGATGCCTCTCTTTTTAAATGTTCTTTACGTTATCCAAAATTCCTTTTTAGCTTTTTGTAATGTTCTTCTGCAATTATTAAATTACTGAGATTTGTTAGATGTTGTATTATTTGTTGTAATCTCCATTCATTAATTTATTTTTCTTTAATCTGTAATTAAATTATGTATAAAACTAATAAAATCCCCCAAAATTAGTCTTAAATCTTTTTTTGTCAAATTGTACTTAAAATTTACAAATTTTTAAATATCTTTGCCATTAGCACAATTGTTCCAGGACAGGGTCACAATAACTCCTCCCTTTGGTTCCAGCGGTTTTGGAATTCCAGTTCCAAAAAGAAGAGGAACTATTTATGAAGCAGGAATTGTCTATACTAACGGGGTTGCACACAAGCCTAAAAATGATCAAAGTTTTCAATCCCTGTTTTGCACAATTGCAGTTAATTTTTTTGTGCACAATAAAAGTACAGTTGTTTAGCAGTAAATATCTTTTCTGGTATTTAAAAAAAATCTACTGAAACATACTTCCAGTCATGTGCTGTGGAGGTCAGTCAGCTGATCCACAGATCTTAACAATGAATATTTGATCCCCAGTGAAGTGACTGCCTTTGGTGTTTGGACTGAATAGTCTTTGATGAGAGAAGGAACCTAGAGCACTGCCAGCTTTACAGAGACAAAATAGCCACATGAGGAGCTGCACTGCAGCTTTTTCACTACACGAGGGCGCTGGAGATCTACAAGGCTGAGCATGGCTCACTGTTACAGCCAAAACTGAAACAGCCTATTTCAGGAGGCCCGGACTTATTCAACATTATGAACTTTGGTGAAATGAAATCAGCAGACTCTTCTTTTAAGCCTTTGTTTGTGCCAGGACAATCAATCAACATATGCTCAGTTTATAAAGATTACAAACATTAATATGTGTTTGCAGATTGTGATCACATGTTTAAGGTGAAGCCCTGACTGCAGTGTGTTTGTTAAAGTGTGGCTTTTGGACTATTAAAAAACAATAACAGAAAAACCCTGCTACATTTGTAGATTTGCGTGTAACTCCTGGAATCCTTCATGCAGCCTGCACACGGCCTGCAAGGAATTGACTCTGACAATTACAATAATGAGATAATTGCAATCTGTCACCATACATTCAGCGTTAGCGTATCACAAAATAACCAATGCAAGTGTGATATTCCTTCTACTCACCACACAAGTCTGATCTGCATAACACACACAGCACCCCACTTTGTAATTATAAATGAATTTCACGGTGTGAGGCTTTTAATGCAAATAATGTGGATCTTCTCACCAACAGGACAGTGTGTGTGTGTGTGTGTGTGTGTGTGTGTGTGTGTGTGTGTGTGTGTTTGGGAGTATGTGTGTATCAGATTGTGGCCAAGCTTTGTTTGACTAGCTTTCCCTCTAAAACGAGTTAATGGGATGGAAGTTATTTGCTACCCTGAGCTGACGATCCGGGGTCGAACAGAAGGGTTGAATTAAAAAAAAAAAACAGAAAAGAAAAAATGCATCAATAATTGTGCAGAAGACAATGAACACACCAAATCAGGACAAAGAAAGACAGATGGAGACGGCAGGGGTATAGCCTTGGTTTCCGTGTGTGTGTGTGTGTGTTTGTGTGTGTGTGGTTAGTGACAGGGACCCCATCAGTGCAGGATCAGAGTGGGGAAATTGGAGGACAATGTTGGAAGAAGGGGGGTGTGAGGGGTTTGTGGGATAATTTAAACCGATTGGGGAGGCGGTGTCCCAGAGGTGCATAATTTACTCATTCATTAACTAGACCAAACAAGAGCCAATATTAATTAACTCGTTCCTCGTGGCGAGGCGCCCCGAGAAGCGCGTGCTTTGTTGTCAAATGACCACATAGGAAGTGAAGGCTTTAAAATGAGACAGGCCGCAGGGTGAAGATGCTTTTAATTTGAAATGTGACAAATAATCAAGGGCATTTGTTCTTAAATGAACTTTGGTGAGTGTACTTATGTGCACACATTTTTTTTTTAATTTTAGACTCTGCACTTCCAACACCTTTTTCATTTTTTTTAATCTTGTATTATTATTATTATTATTTTTATTATTATTATTGGAGATAACGATGTTTCACAAAAAAAGATATGTTTGGATCTATGAAGTGATGAATACAGCAAAGTAAATAAGCAACGCAATACAAGAAGATGCTTGCAAAGATGTTAATGTTTAATGTTCAATACTTTTTTACACTTTAGTAAATGACCTAAATAATTTTAACTCTTAAGTTCAATACTACTACTTCTACTACCATTGTTGATAATAAATACTATGCAACATCAATTGTCATCATTGGTGGAAAATAATTAATTAGCCTCGTTTTCTGGTTTGGTTTTTAGAATTGTAGTGTACAAAGTTAGGTTTAGTTGGTTTCGGACCACAATAAAACTTCTGGTACTCTTAATATTTTTTATTTATTTACTCATTTTACAAGTAAATTCCCATGGAAACTGATTATATACAGTGAGTAAATGCAAATATATATTATATTATTAACAAATAACATAAGAATAACAGTAGTTGTTTTTTTTTTAAATGATTAAAAAAAATCCACTTATTTTATGCATCTTATCCACCGGAGGGCGCTCCTTCACTGAGCCACTCAGTGCTGTCAGGCCCTGCTAACTTTGATTAAGGTTTAAATTGGCTGAATTTAATGAACGCTGCCTAATTAGGCAGGATAACAGCTTTAATTGATAAGTAATTATTTGCCACAAATTGTTATTAATTCTCCAGCTCCGTCTCATAGTGTACTGACTCTAAACCCTACCCCCCCACACACCCCGCCTGCTCCCCCTCCTCCCCTGCAGCATCTCTATTTATGTAACAAGCAGTGGTAAACAATTAAGCATATGTTAGGATGGGATGCTCCGGAGGGTATCATCAGGCTGTGCTTGGTGCACTGGCAGTTTATGTGAAATTATTTGCTCTCGCTGACTGATACCTCTGAGCATTAATTGCTTAAACTGTCCTGTGAATTTGGCTGAGTGCCATTGAAGGCTCAGTGTCACGTCTGACAGAAAAAAGGAAAATCAGTGACCCTTTAATCAAGAGAGCTCAGCTTTAATTTTAGGAGGAGGTGATATATTACTTATGTATAAATAATATATTGATCTTATAGCTTCTGCAACTATGTACTAAAATGCCACTGAGTTTCATCGTGATATTTTTATTACAATGAATCAAGCAAATATTATACTAATAATACTATTATTGTCATGGAATTAATTTACATCAGGCAAAGACCACAAAGCTTACAAGAAACAATCAACAAATAATATTCTGCAAATAATACATATGTAAATGTGTATATGTATATGTATACATATAAACATGTATAGATGTGTATATACAGCATTGTTTTCATTCTTGTGTGAAAGCAATGCATTCATTATTGAGTCATAGTGTGTACTTCGATTTTGAGTTGAGTTTTTATTAATTAATGACACAGTGTAACAGAGTCACATGTTGTTCATCTAGGACCTGGCAACAGCTAGATTTTATTTTTATTATGTCTTGGTACCTGAAACTGTAGACTTGATAGATACATAGATACTTTCTATTTACTATGACTGTATATGTATGTGATGTTCAGTTTGCTTCCTCTTTAGAACATATGTAGTAACTTCCTGTCTTCTACTGTACATGAAGCTGCAGGAACTTGTAGCATTGGTCTTCAGAGCATCCTACTTCTCAAGAGTCTGCAGTCAAATCCAAACCTTCTCAAAAACCATCCATGTTTAACAATAACCCGCTGAGCTTCACAAACACAAGTTTGAAGTTTATGTAAAGGCTCAAAATGTGCCTGTGCTGTGGTCACTGTAAGAAAAGCTGTATGCTGTCAGTGCTTGAATGTGGAACTGTGAATGCTAATTGAGGTAACTGGTCAACAAATTTGAAGTAAGACATGGTGCTAATTTTGCAAGGTTGAGCCAAAACATTTGCAGTAATAGCTAACCAATGAGCTGGGGTCTCAGGATGTGGATGTAACCACACAGCCTATACCACACCAGGAATCCCACATCTAATTTCCCAAAGTCACTACTGACTCTATCACACAGGTAATTATGTCTGTTTTATAGACATGAGAAGTTGTAAGGCTTAACTGATGACAATAGACTGATGTGAAACCTACAGCTGTGCAAAGAAAGATGCTCAAAACAAAACAACATTAAAGTGGTATACATTGTATACATTTAGGGATTTAACATAAGGGTCATGTATTGAAATAAAGCACATGTATTCAGATTTAAATAACCGTCGCTCAGCAATATATTATCCATTTGCTGATTAGCATGGAGGAAACAATGAGGGTTGTCACAGAGTGGCACACATAAAAATAAATCATTGAGATCATGTAAATAAAGCACATACATCTTCAGTGTAATTGTGTTTCTGAACAGCTGTGGTCAAAGACTATCGTGTGCCTTCCATGCACTTTTCTGTCCAGTTATATAGCAAACAAAGTGAATCTGCCTGTCAGTGTCATGGCACTTTTGTGTCAAAATATTCGGTAAAAATTATGTTTTGATTTCTTTAAATGTGCTTATTGTCAAATCTGAGCTCATGCTAACCAAATAAATAAGTGTGCAACTGAGTCTACAGTTGTTCATGCTTTAAATTGAAGTTGTAGGGGTTAACACACAATGAGGAGCTCAGTGAGTTGAGAAAACAAAACATGAACCGAGCGCACCGAAGAAAAGGCCTTTGTTTCAAACAGCATCAGTCATTTCATGTCAGTGCACGGGGGCCACTCTGACGGAGCTATTCATTAAAGTGATTTAAATGAGATGCGCGTGAACTTGCTTCCTAATTAAAACATATTTCCTTGTTTACAGAGTGGCTTTAAGCTGGGCCCTTTGGGGTGGGGTGGGGGACTTTCTCCTCCCTCTTTTCTCCCTTCCACCGTTTCACTGCCAGCAGATGGTTTTGTTGGGCTCCAGTAGTTAGCCAGTGGCCGAATAGGGCCAACCATTCTTCCCCTGTATGCCCATCAGATCCCAGCATTTATTTTAATGCCTCACCCCTCCCCTCCACAAATGTGCACGTGAGAAGTAGCTCTATTGATTGGGCTGCTAAATGTATATGCAAATATTTCGAGCCCGTGCATGAAAAATTGGCGTCGCCATTTCTCAAATTACTATATTTTGAAAATGTTAATTTGCATAGCGGATTTCCCTGCGGGGTAGGGGGGTTAATTAGGTCTATTTCCGTGCGGCTTGTGCCAAGACAGCCAAGGAAAAAAATAGAGGGTGGGCAGAAGAAAGAGAAAAGAGGGAGAGAGGGGGAGATGCGACTCACTGATAACAATTAAAATGGCATTTTGGACTCTTTCAAGCATGGAAAAATTTTTGGCATATTAAGCACGTTTTAGGAGAAGGTGATAAGTCAGTTTTAATTGAAATGGAATTGTTGCTCCAGAGGAAGTTTGGCATTTAATCCACTCAATTTTAAACACACAGGCAGATCTTAAAGGCATCAGGTTTAATCTATCAAACGAGAGGTGAATTAAAGAAAATAACTTTAACCACAATTTGCATTTCCTCCCAATATTCTGTCACAGGCACAATTATGTTCATAATTAGATGGAGAAAAAGTTTCCTAATTGCATGGAGAGAAGGAGCTAAAACGCACTCGCCTGGAAATGGGGTCTTTCCTTTTCTAAATTATCAAAGCTTTCATTATGTGTCAGGCAAAAGATTTGTGGGAGGAAAAAAACAAAACATCAATACATTAAATCCTTTCGCTTCTAATTGGAATGGCATCCACTTTCCTGGTTTAATGCTGCACCAAGCGCACAGCAGGATCAAAAAACCGTCTCGCAACCATTAATTTAGATTAGACTCTTAATTATCAACCAATCACTAAATAATGACTGACTTCATTTCAGATAGTTAAAAATTAACTTG